TACACAAACATTGCTAACCAGTACACAAACATTTCTAACCAGTCAACGAAATTGCTAATCAGTACACAAACATTGCTAACCAGTCAAAGAAATCGCTAATCAGTACACAAACATTGCTAACCAGTCAACGACATTTCTAACCAGTCAACGAAATTGCTAATCAGTACACAAACATTGCTAACCAGTACACAAACATTGCTAACCAGTCAGTGACATTGCTAACCAGTACACACACATTGCTAACCAGTCAACGACATTTCTAACCAGTCAACGAAATTGCTAATCAGTACACAAACATTGCTAACCAGTCAACGAAATTGCTAATCAGTACACAAACATTGCTAACCAGTCAGTGACATTGCTAACCAGTCAGTGACATTGCTAACCAGTCAGTGACATTGCTAACCAGTACACAAACATTGCTAACCAGTACACAAACATTGCTAACCAGTCAACGAAATTGCTAATCAGTACACAAACATTGCTAACCAGTCAGTGACATTGCTAACCAGTCAGTGACATTGCTAACCAGTCAGTGACATTGCTAACCAGTACACAAACATTGCTAACCAGGCAGTGACATTGCCAACCAGTCAGTGATATTGCTAACCAGTACACAAATATTGCTAACCAGTCAGTGACATTGCTAACCAGTCAACGACATTTCTAACCAGTCAACGAAATTGATAATCAGTACACAAACATTGCTAACCAGTCAACGAAATCGCTAATCAGTACACAAACATTGCTAACCAGTCAACGACATTTCTAACCAGTCAATGAAATTGCTAATCAGTACACAAACATTGCTAACCAGTCAACGAAATCGCTAATCAGTACACAAACATTGCTAACCAGTCAACGAAATCGCTAATCAGTACACAAACATTGCTAATCAGTACACAAACATTGCTAACCAGTCAACGAAATCGCTAATCAGTACACAAACATTGCTAACCAGTCAACGAAATCGCTAATCAGTACACAAACATTGCTAACCAGTACACAAACATTTCTAACCAGTCAACGAAATTGCTAATCAGTACACAAACATTGCTAATCAGTACACAAACATTGCTAACCAGTCAACGAAATTGCTAATCAGTACACAAACATTGCTAACCAGTCAACGAAATCGCTAATCAGTACACAAACATTGCTAACCAGTACACAAACATTGCTAACCAGTCAATGAAATCGCTAATCAGTACACAAACATTGCTAACCAGTCAACGAAATTGCTAATCAGTACACAAACATTGCTAACCAGTACACAAACATTGCTAGCCAGTACACAAACATTG